GTTTATAATTTGGCATATGAGTATCATGAGATATTTTTTTGGGAAGAACATGATAAATTGAGAGATAGACGAATATAATTTGGTCGAAGATAGCTACAGCTCAATGGCTGGCAGGGTTCAAGGTTTGGCAAGGAGTCCTAAACAAAAAGTATTTTACGCCGGGGTGTATGACGTACAAATCTATGGCTCATGGGCCGTATCTTTTTTTACCTTAGCTAAAGGCCTAGGCCACAGATGTGCAGCCGTTTACTTATGGCCGGATTCTTTGGCGGGCGTCTAGGCCTTTCAATCTCGGCAAGTGACCCCGCATTTTCACGCGTCTTGAGTTTCGAAAATCGCTACCGAAGTCACAGGGCCATCTCGCCGAGATTTTATTTTCCGGGAACTGCGGAGAGGCTTCACTCGAAAATAGCGGTAAAAGCCCGGTGACGGACACTAGATGGAATAGCGGACCACATATGTCAGGTGGCCTGCTGTAGACGCACGTCTTCGGGCGTCATCACCGTGCAGCATGCGCGAAAGAGTAGGCTGGCAAATTATTCCTGTTGGGACTGAGGCCCTACTCTCCTACGGGATCTGCGGCACGAGAGCCGTGACAGGTTGCACTGACCAGTATTGACGGCTCTTGGCTCGGGGATGCAGGAAAACTATTGTATTTTCCTTGCTAATTTGCGTCTAACTAATGATGACATTACACTAGTCCCGAGTGGGTAAAAAATGTTAATTAACTGTACTTTGTGCCTCATGTATCAGATTCCCATAGAAGGCCTAACATGTAGAGCGGAGAGAGGGTGAGAGATATTTTTATTGTAATACTTGAGTCTTAGACTATCTAGTACTTTAGGCTCCTTTCTGACCAAAGCCACACCTTGTGCATTGCTCCTCGCCCCTCATGTTACTTGTAAGATCATTGATATATTGCCTTTGATGAATAGCCATTCAGCTCAGTGTTTACCCGTGGAATTCGGCCATTTTTCCATGGAACCTTCTACCCAAAACGAAAAAAATGGTAGCAATGGAAACTGCGTGCGCGGGAAAAAGTCTCAAAAAACCTGCAGCCCCAGCCAGGCGAGGACTAGACACCGGGACCACATGAGGTGCGCATATTCATCTATATCTCCCTTCTTTGTAACAGTCGAGACCAACTTGATCCAATCCACCATCTCCGTATCGGGTGCTGGGTACACTCTGGAAACTCATCGGATGGATTTTCCTCCATGGTCAAAGGTTGGTGATGAATAGGGCTTTGACCCTACCATCTGATCTGATCGTGGTTAGCTTCATGATAATGGTGATGGGGGGATATGTTGAGAGATGAAGACGATACAGACAGCGAAAGCGATTGGGAATCCTCGTCGAAGTGAGGACTTTGTTATTCAATCTCAGCTCTGCAGATTGTATAGTGAGAGCTGGAGTTCCGTAGGGGATAACAATGATAGGTGATAAGAATAGTCCCCCTCCTGAGGGAGATAATCCAAGCTAAGGATGCCGCTCAGCCAGTACCACTCGACACTTGATCCAAGCAATTAGATGGGCTCGCGACTGACGGTGGCATGAATTTTACAACCACTGGCTTTGGGATATATCTATGTTCAAGGAAATTTGATGTCTATTTGATTTAAAGCTTAATTAAATGTAAATTTTGCCTCCAATACATCCAATATCCCTTCTATTAAGGCTCTAATATAACTATCATTTAACAGCCGCGTTACTACTCGCAGGAGGCTCAAGGAGTTCATCCTTTTTGGGTATGGGCATAAACGCATATCTCCGACATTATTAGAGTTCATGAGTACGCCAGCACCCAGTAATAAAGGAACTAGCTTAGAGTTATCACGATGCTGATAAGGTATGAATAATTGATTTAAGAGATCTTGCATTGAAGTTCAATAACAAATACTACTAAAGTATGATTTCTTGCATTCCTTAATAGATAGATTCAGTATGGACCTGAATATAAAGCTAATCTAAACGATTTCTTGAGAAATCCAGATAACTATCATCTATGGGTACTCACTAAAATGAAATTTCACAGCTATTGGCTATATGAGCACGCTTTCGTCTTCAAAAAATGTACCACTAGAAACATGGCCAAGCCTTGCTGGATTTGAGCTAAAGATCTTGTGCCTCGAGTCTGATAGATCTCTAAGCTCGTTCATGCTTTACTTGAGAGACCGGCTCGAATGGTATATTATTGCAAAGCTCACTCATGGTCTTTCATATAGTCGTGCGTATATTTTTGCAAATGAAGTACTTGCGTGCATAATGCTTTGAAATTTTAAAAGCTTTCTGCTGAGAGTCGAAGTTTCCTACTTTTTCGATATTTATTCAATACTTGGTAATATGTGACCTGTTGACTTCTTTTCTCTCACTTTACTCTCGATGATATATTTCGCTAGGTTTGTGCACCTGTTTATCTCCTCATTTGTGTAGTCAGATTGTCGTGATCATATGTTAAATGACCAAGTTGTGCTAGCGACTGAGTTATCAAGAGTCGTAATCATTGAAACAAAGATATACGTGTAGACTTGAGACGGCTATGGTTCGAATCAATGTCGTTGTGAGTGAAAGATTGACATGATAGAAGGTCGTGAATCATTTCCTGATGGGGTAACCTCTTCGATAAGCAAAAGTATGGCTGAACTTAGCTCTAGGAGAATGCCCCCTGGGTGCTGGGTCAGTACCCGGTTACGATAAAAATATCATTATCATTATCATTAGCTCTAGGAGAATATTTCAATCTCGAGCTGGAAGTGGACACCGCATACAGGTGCTCAGTTTTGTCACCCTGTTGCATGGCTTGTTTCGCCAAAGTACACGACCCTTATATACTTTTTCTGCCGCTGAGACCCCTAAAATTACGTTTGCACAAATGAAGTACATAGACATGTGTTTATTGTCCTGTAAAGTCTATGACTATGGAAAGACATGTAAGTCTTATCTGCCTACAGGCCGGGAATACCTATGCCTCGAGTAGTATTCTCTCTCCTATGCCTCCTTCCCGACTTCTTTCTAGCAGTAATACCCCCACAGGTCTTCATTCGAGTACACACTAAGAGGAGCCTTTATCCTTTCATTATCTTCCATCTCCAGCCAACGAAAAGATAATCTCTTTGGAGGGTGCAGCTGCAGGGAAAAGTCTCAAAAACAACTGGGTACGGAGCTCTCCTATGACGAAGAGGCCGGATAGCCGGGCGCAGCAGACCTGTGTATACCTAAGAGTGTCTCTCAAACTTCCTAGCCTCCTCCTTACTCCTCCCCTGATTCATGCCGCAGGTAAAACCGGAAGTCATAAAAAGATGCTAGAAATGTCTTGCTCGAGGGTGACTGCCGTGAAGGAGGTTTGCCTAGCGTCCAAAAGCCGATACAGAAGTGAGCTTGTCGAATAACTTATGTACTTCAGATACCCTCCTGGCTGGTAGATTCGGAGTTAAAGGATAGAAGAGATGATATAACTGACGAGTCGAAATATGATTTTCCATGAAGACACAAGCGTGCAATACTTTGTTTTCATGGACTTTTTATTTGCCCGCTGGTTGGTAAGACATGTTGTAATGTGATGAGGGCTTCTCCGACTACCGTTGTAGCGTTTGGAAGCGCAATATTTTTCTTCATTCCCAGCGCCATTATCGCAGTCTTGGTCGTCTTATGGATTATCTGAAGCGTATCTTTGACGGAGGGAAAGATAACTCAGCTCAAATTTGGATTGCGCTACTCGATCTCGGCTCTGCAGACTCAACAGTGAGGGCTGGAGGTCTGTAGGGGATAACACTGACAAGTGTTGAGTTTCGTGCCCTAGAAATGATGACTTGCAAGGAAGGTTTGGAAAGGTTATACTTGTCCTCGTGTGGTCGTAGTCTTAATAGGATAACAAACATACAAACAATTTGAACTTCGCTCGATGAAAGCCAACTGGCAAATTGAGCTATGAATCACACATATTTACAGCAGCGCTTGAGGGATTACCCCACCACCAAGGCAAGGAAGTTACGATATCTACCGATATCGCTAGCAAACATCGCCCAAGAATCATCTTATCGTTTCACAATGCAAACGCTCTTACAGGCCTATTCTTACGGCTTTCCTAGACCCTGCATGAATAGAGAGGATCAGATATAGAAGTAAAGTACTGGAGACGTGCGAGTAACTTGTTTGCAAGCTTTATGCTTACTCTTTCCTCTGAAACAATTTCTAGATTAAAGGTTATGCTAAAATAGCTCCGCGATAAGCTTCTGATCCTAGATAGATAGGAACTTTTCTCAGCACCTGTCAGTGGTGTCCTCTACAAATCTCCAGCTCTCACTGTTGAGTCTGCAGAGTTGAGATTGAGCAATATAGTCCTCACTTTGATTTGGATTCCCAATCGCTTCTGTGATATGTATCGTATTCATCTCTAAACACATTCCTCTATGACCACTAATATGAAGCTAACCGCGTTCAAATCAGATGTAAGGGGAGAAGTCCTACTCATCACCAACTCTTAGTCATAACGAAGAAGCCATACGATGAGCTTCCAAAGCGAACTTAGCACCAGATACGGCGTTGGTGGATTGGATCTTCTTAATCACTTTTGTTGAAGAAAGATGTAGATAGATATGCGCACGTCATATGGCTCTTGTGTCTAGACTTCGCCTGGCCGGGATTGTGCGTTTTTTGGATCTTTACTTGCATACGCAGCTTCAGTTGCTACCTTTCTGTTGTTATTTTTGGTAGAGTCTACCATGTAAAAGGAGGTTTAATTCTAGGGCTAAATACTCGGCTCGAAGGCCATACGTCACCGATACTATTTCAAGTCTATTCGTAACGAACGAGAATAGAAGCATCGCACAAAGTGTGGTGTAGGTCGGAAAGGAACCTATTATGCTAAAAAATTATAGAATCAAGAAATAAAATCACCAAAATAAATCTATGGAGACAGATATATATGAAAAATAATTAGTCTCATAACATTATAGTATTCAAGCTAATTTCATCTACGAAAGCTATGATTGTAAATCTCATTATATTGTCGCTTTAACCTTAGCTTTTCTCGACCGTTTTTTCTTCCGCCCTCCCAGTAAAATATTACTTTCATTATTAGCTGGAACAATCACATTTGTATTATTAGCATTAGTTGGCATTGCTGGACCTTCTTCATTCCCAAATGTCTCTTTTCGCCACTGTCTTAGACGCGATTTTTTCCCTAGATGTTTCTTATCTTTTCGTTTCTTCTCAACATCCCTAAAAGTTGCCATCTTCTTAATTCCAGCAAATTGATTTAGTGACTTCTCTGGCGCCATTAGGATATCTAGCGCAGTCAAGCCAAAAGAGACGGGGGAAGTTTCACGGTAGCGAAACTGATTCCTTTGTTTTGAGCTAGTCATTAAGTTAACGTCCAACTGACTATCGACAAGGTCTTCTATTTTCATTCGCTCAATACGAGCCGATTTCTTTTTGGCATGCTTTTCCAGTTGTTGAATCTTACGAATCTTTAGGCTGGTGGCTACATTTTGGTCGTCAGCGTCACTCTCAGAATGGGAGTCTATGTGAGAAGTTTGAACTGTTTCTTCGAATCCGGGAAGGATATCATTAATGTCAATTTCATCATCCCACTCTGGCTTCTTCAACTTTTGACGCTCACTTTTGGCTTCTGATTCCATCGCGTCATCAGAAACTTGATCCTTATCAGCATAATATTCCTCTCCAAAATACTTTGTCATCTCGTCCTTCCATCTTTCGTCATCCCAGCCTTCCTCCAAAAATTTAAAAAGACTTTCCTGATTTAAACTCTGACCGCGTATTCCAGCAGCTTGCTTAATCATTTTGAGCCTATTTTCCATTTCTTCGATTTTTAAGCGTTTAAGTTGCATTATTTCCTCTTTTTGTTTTTGCATCTCTTCCTCTTTCCTATCACGTCGAACTGTTCTTTGCTTTTTACGGCTATTGACATTGTCTCTTCGGACAGATTTTGCTGCCACAACATCTCTTGCATAGGTTTTTAAAATCTCATTACTACCAGTAGGATCTTCAAATCTTAAGTTATAAGCGGCTTCAAACCTTTCAGCACGGTCATCCTCGGATTCATTATCGGACTCAAGTGGCTGAAAACGAGATTTATCGGTCGGCACCCATGCACGTGCTGCCATAAAATTTGATAAAAATTTCTCAGGATCTTTGTGGGCGGTGTTGACATCGATGTCTATATTGGACTGAGGGACCTTGCAGACTTTAGTAGACAGTAATTTTTTATCATGCACTTCTGGGATTAGAAAGCCTCCATTCTCGTCTGCCTCGGATTCGTCTTCAGCAGCTTCATGTATCTGCTTAATTAGAGATGTTTGAAGTGCAGTTTGCTCTTGTGCAAATGTATTTAGGTTAGATTCACTCTCATTTTCTCTCTTTTCCCCACTGTCTAGCCTGTTGAGTAAATTTTCTCGATGATAATCTCGAAGGTACATTGGCCTATGCTTTTCAGCCACATCAACTTCTAATTTAGAATCATTCTCATCAGCTATTGGAGTAAAAAAGGTAAAGTTTTCGTCGTAGACATGAGGATCTTTAGATCGGATGGCATTAAGAGTTGCAGAGATTTCAGCGTCTAAAGTTTCTGTGGCCAGTAGTCCTGCATCGTCTTCTTCTTCAGAATTCGAGGACTCTGAATCTTCGTCGTATTTATCACCATAGATTCTGTCACTGCCCTTTTCTGGATTGTTATATTTATCTTCCACTTATATGATGTTAGCTATTACCCAGATGATCTAGATACCAGGAACGATGTAGTTGACTTACATTTTTGCAATTCTTCTCTTTTTTTGTTATGTTCGAATTTCCTAGCAAATTCTTTGTTGATTTTTAGTTTTGGCTCATTTAACTCGTTGTTGCTTTCTGCTTCGCTCTCTGAGTTTGTATTGTCCGCGAAGATTGATTCTGTCAAAAGCTGAGGTTGATTATGTTTCAGTTTTTTGTGGCTTGTATTATTTATCGTTTTGCTTTCAGAGGTCTTACGTTTCGCCATCATTGTGCTTTGACCAAAAGGAAACGGAATTTAATGAAAACTAAGGCTAAATTCTCGGATTTCGCGTGGTGTAGCCCCGATGACACATGACGAAACTTAGCGTTGGCCGTGTACACATGTAGGCCTCGTCATCGATCACTTGACATGCACTTATCTTCACGAAGCATCACATTCAAAGATTACTCAGATTTGTGTGGTTCTTTATTATTCCAAATTGGTGTACAGTATATCCAGCTGGTACATACACTCCATTTCACAATTTCAATATAAATACCGAGCCCATATATGATGACGGATTCTACCCCACTCAAACCAAGCAGCAGCGTAAAACTTGTTCTTCTTGGTGAGGCTGCGGTTGGAAAGGTAGGTACTCCTTCATAGCATACTACAATAACTGTTACTGACCATCTAAAGTCCTCACTCGTCTTACGCTTTGTAAATGATGACTTCCAAGAGAACAAAGAACCAACCATCGGAGGTCTTTCCAACTTTTTAATTCATCTTAAATGCTGCGGCTAATTAGACAGCAGCGGCTTTTCTTACCCAAAAATGCAATCTCCCAGCGAGAACGATCAAGTTTGAGATATGGGATACCGCTGGGCAGGAACGCTTTGCCTCTCTCGCACCCATGTACTATCGCAATGCTCAATCAGCACTAGTAGTTTATGACTTGACAAAACCAGCCTCCCTTATAAAGGCAAAACACTGGATAGCTGAACTCCAGAGGCAAGCATCGCCAGGTATCGTTATTGCGTTAGTGGGGAATAAGCTAGATTTGGTAGGCGAGACAAGCGGTAATCAAGCGGATAGTAGAGATGACGATGAAGTACCAGAAGAAGGTGACGAAAGTGATGTGTCTAAAGTGGTTGGAACAGAGGCTAGAACTTACGCCGAAGAAGAGGGTCTACTTTTTTTTGAGACGAGTGCAAAGCTGGGTACGAATGTAACGCAGGTCTTCACTGCTATCGCCAACGCGATTCCAGAAACTTCCCTCAAGGGTGCTAGAGGGACAGGGAATGCCTCTGGAAATTCCAGTCGGAGAGACGACCAGTCGAGAGTCAATTTGACCGCGACTACGGATGATGATTCGAAACAGAGTTGTATGTGTTAAAATCTTAGAAGATTAACCTTTGGAAGAATTGTTTATTTTTAGTCTCTCGATCTGGGCTTAGTAAGCCACTTTAATTGGAGGAGTCGTGTAATCATGCCAGATGACAAACTCTAATTGGCGCATGGAGGGTTGAATTTATTGTTTCATGAAAACGAATGAATCTAGGTTCACAGCTTGGCTAGTCGTATATGTGTTGGAAATAAGTCAAGGCATTTAATGAATAATACATTACCTTAATGTCCGTGTGACACGAAACGACGTGGAAGCCTCCAATTTTTCGGTTGCGGCTTACACTGAGAAATACCTTGGCTAAGATAAGTGCATGAATCATGACGGTAGAAATTAGGGAAAGAATAATTTCAATTATTGATGTGCCCGATGCAGGTAATAACCCCTGCCACAACGAGTCGGTGAAGGGTTAGTAAATTGGCGGTACGATGATAGTGAATTATCCTCCCGATAACCCTGTCATACTTAACGAAGCTCTATTTTCGAACACATTTCAACCAAGACAGTATATGCTCGGGTTCTTTGATGGAAATGTTTCCCTAGCAGTGTGTGCCGTCATGGGTTCGAGTTTCAAACTGAAGGGTCTCAGTAGTTGACTTTGTTCCAATTCACAAGTCAGCTACGTGGAAGAGCGTGGCGCACGTGGTTTACAATATGTATCATGGTATGGCTGTAGAAACTCTTTCCTTGACGTTGTCATGAGTCGCGTGGCCTCCAATTTGAACTTCTGAATACCGCATGGACATTACGTTGTGTATAAAGTGCGGGTAGGAAACCATCTTCAATATCCATCAAACACACCTTTTCACACTCTCTTCAACACTCGTTCGAACCAACTACATTCTTTCACGAAGTAACTCGCTCTCCGCTAAGCACAAATTGAAATTCTTAACTCGTTTCCAAACAATACCGACAGACCAACTTATCTTAAGCATGCGTTCATCTACATCTCTTTTCTTGGCCGTCTGCACAACTATGGCCGTCCAGGCTGCACCTCTGTCACCTTTAAAGTCACCATCATTATTAAGCGAAAGATCAGAAATGAGCAGCAACTCCGGAGAAGTTTATTCGGCTCGCAGTGCTGGTGGATTTGCATACCATTCACCATCATTGGTCGAGAGAGACGAGGGTGCAGTAACACAGGCAAAGGATGACCGTAAAGGAGGTGAAGCAGGTGGTGCTGCTGCAGTCCAGAGAAACGATAACACCGACTCCGATTCTGATTCTGATTCTGATTCTGATTCTGATTCTGATTCTGATTCTGATGATGAATCAAACACTAAACAAATCAAGTTTAATAGTAAGCCTGGCGATTTCAAACTTACAGTAGGAGAACATAAAAGTCAAACACAGAGCGACACTGCGGCAACTATTCCTGAGAACAAATCTCCAGCAGGAGGACCAGAAAAACCTGCGGGTTCTACAGCCAGTACAGATGGGCCTAGTGCAGCAAATACACCTCCAGCACCCCCAGCAGATGCAGCCAATCCTGATCCAGCCTCGAAACCAGAAAATGAGGCAAACAAGCCTAAGTCTAATCTTCTTACGGCCTCAGATAGTACTCCTGTCAATGACGCATCTACACAGGTCGACGGTAAAGCCAATTCCGCAGACGTTGATGCTGAGGATGACGATGAGGACGATGATGAGGACGATGATGATGACGAAGCTGGCGCAGCTAGCGTAGAAGAAGATGAAGACGAGGACGATGAGGATGAAGATGACGATGACGACGACGTTCCATCCTCGAACCCTGCCGCAAGTGCTCAAGATGTCGGAAAAGAAAGCCCGGCGAACGCAAAAGCTGCAACAGCCGATGACAAGAAAGCCGAGTAATCAAATTTAGCTGGTCTTTTTCCGTCTTTCAGTAAGAAGTTTGATTGATTTTGCGCTGGTGTACATTTGCGGGATGGTTGAAATTTTAAATAAATTTTACGATGCGATGGGGAAAACAATATCAACAGGATAAGTGTATTTTTGGCCGCACTTCGCGCTCAGTGAGCTCAGAATGCGCAGCAAGACGTCAGCATGTATACCTATTAGCAGTTAAGAAGCAAGTTGATATTTTTTAGTTGAAGGCATTCATTACGTTAGAATTTATTGCTTAGCCAAATTTTTTTCCTTAACCCCCCCCCCCAAATATTAGTCAATATGTCTTTTGTGATTATAAATTAGTGAATGTTATGTCTGGCATAATACTTTAACAATATATACTTAGCAGTTAGCAACTGCAGATTCCGAAACTTTGAGAGCGGCCACATTTTACCAAAGTAGAGAGTCTGGACAGCAAAAACTGAGTTTTCAAGGCTCATCATTCTTCCTACACCGTAACCTGACAAGGGCCCAAAGCAGTTTGGCAATGCAAATACGAAGTGAGCACATGGGGCTTAATTCGTATTTACATAGAAGAAAAGTACACGGAGTGCTAAGTCCAGGTTGTCCATACGGCTACCAATCACAGAACCCCAAGCATATGATTATGTCCTGCCCCCGATGGTCAAATGGTAGATCTGAGATCTGGAGACAAGCCATAGATCGGTCCTACGAAGCGATGATAAACAATCCTGGAGATATAAAAAGGATAGCACAGTGGATCCTAAACCATGGTTGGATAGGGCAATTCCAGATGACAAAACCGGTCGAAATACTGCTGAGGGCAAGGAAAAGGTCAAATAATGCTTGGGGTGGATAGAGATGATCTGGTTGGTTTACATGGATGGCACTATAGTGTAACTGCGCTTCCTGAAGAAAATTTGTGAGAACTATAGACAACAAATAGGAAGATGTGGGGGGTTTTAACCATAGAGGTTTCCTCCCGGGTAAATATTATAGACTGTAGACACCTGCATGGGCCCATAGGGCGCCAAAATCAGGATAATGAAATCAAATTCAAAGAAAATACACAAATTACTGATAATATGTCATGGCTTTAAATCTGAATACCATTCTAAAACACGATCAAATATTTATAAAGTGTGGTAACCCACGCCATCACGAAGCTAAACTTACGTCATTTCCATGACAAATTATAATTTATGTAGCTACATTGCCCTTTAGCTCCAACTAAATACTTACACTCACGATCGCAGATACTACCTGACCACTTTCCCCGTTAGTAGTAGGGGCACCAAAGACAATGTCAGAAACACTCAATCAAGCGACTTCCGCAGCCTGCAAATACGAATTCTTTACCTTCCAACGGTGCCGGTTTAATCGCTCAATGTGCTCTGCATATCTGGGATAGCCAAGAAGAATCGCATCCGAATCGAAGTCTAAACCAAACACATGCAGATCTCCATTTGACGAGTTCTCAATCACACAGGACTTTTCATTATCCTAAGTCCTCAAACTTTTCCTAACCACATATCATCTCGCATCAACGACCGATAAAGGCGTCACCCCAGTTGCAAACAGGAGCTTGCCTCATTGATTACTGGCTATCACTCACTTCATATTTACGACGCTACGCATACCCGCAAGGAGGAGATTAAGTCTTAATATACAAAGTTGGGGTCTTAGTTTGTGGGGGACTGATGCTCCAATGGAGTTATACATCTTGAGGAAGTACAGATAGCTGAGATGTGGAGCTAGAGAGGGAAAAAGTTTTTGTAGGCCATACTGGAACTGATAATTTCGAGTTTTCAACTTAGGAACGCTTGTGGGCGCCAAGGCCAAGACTTCGGCTAATTAGCCAGGAGGGCTTCTTTTGTCGATGAGTCAACGGCATTCTCCAGGGCCCTGGACGGCACAAAAGAAGCTAGGCTAAGCTACTATACAACAATTACGCTCTGTCAAGACTTTTCTGACGTTTCAGCACAACCTTCGGGAAGGAGTTGGAAGGAGGCTAGAAAGGCAGAGTGTGAATTTCCCGAGGTACACACAAGACTGCAGCGTCCAGCTGGCCGGCCTCTTCGAACGCTTTAGAAGGGGCACTATGTCTTCGGGTTTAGTTCTAATATCGGTATTAGGAGAGTTCCGCACCCATTGGTTTTTGTGATTTCTCCCGGCTGCCATACAGCCGCAAACGGCCATCGTTTCTGTTAAATTACAAAAGCCTTGGTCAAACATAATCATTCTAATACCCGCAACATAATGATGTCAGGGTTGTGGTAAATGTTAAATTAGGAGTACAAAGATAAGGCGTTTGGAGATATTGTATAACCTGTATTAGCAGTTCCATATTCACATGTAAATGAGTCTAGTATTGGAACGTTGGCACGAGCTAGGCGGCAGCATTTTTAAGGAATGCTGAGACTGTAATAATCATACGCGTTTGTTTAACCTTTTACTTTATCGAATCTACTTCCAGCCACACTGTTCTATCCATCTAGAGGAATCATAATCTAATACCCAGTTTATTTATCTGAAGAGACTCACAATCTAATTCAGATACCCTCATGCGTTAGACGGTTCATGTTCAAGCCGGAAATTGCATTGATGGATTATTCTGATTGTGAGAAGCGGGAGAAATGACTTACCCAGATCTTCAGCTTCGCACTTTATATCTTTCTCCTCTATTGATCATATTCATTTTTGGTATCTTGCTACCACAATTATCTCTTCTTAATCTATCAATTCTTAATTCTAAACCTCCATTGTGAAACTTGATAATCACCTTTTACACCTCGAAGAAGGCAGACCCCACACCTTTTGAGTCGCGACGTAATATTTTTCGGCTTAAAGTTATCTGTGGTCGCAGAGGCAATGATTTCAGACAGTGCTGCTGACATGCTAAAAATAGGCAACCATGGAATGTGTTGTGGTCCGCCTCCGAGAGGTGTTTACTGGTATGGTTTGAGTAGCCTGGGCACCTACTCCACATGGAAAGGAGACGCTTCAAACCACATTTCGTGTGGAGAAGAGCCGATGGATGATGGAAGCACGTGTGGATAACTCAGGGTTTTTGAGACGTTCCCATGGGTGAGTATACACGGATGAGGGTTGACTTGGGGTGAAGAAAAAGCCACCATAGCTTCGCAGTGGTATTTGCAAATGAAATCCGAGGCATGATTGCTCTTCCTTTACGTTGAATCATCTACTCTGTACTTTTCTTTGATATTGTGTCATAGCTAGGTAGCTGCATACGCAATTCAAATCTGATGCATAAAAAGGAACCCTCAATATACAGAAAATTTGCAAATCAACTCTTCATCAATATAAGTAAATTTAGTGTGTACAAGAAACTAGCGCTTCGACAATGGATCTACTTCCTAGAGGTAAATCAATGATGGCGTGTAATCAAGTTGAGAATCATAGTGTATTCTTTCTGTAAGGGGTTCTTTAGTGTAAATCAGAAAGTTTGATAGACTTACATAAACCCAGATGTCGACGAATTAAGCAAAATGAACCCATCTTCTGATAGTCATTGACTTGTATAGGATGTAAATGAAGTAAAAACCAAAATAAACCCTGAAACCATTCGTACACAGGTCTTCACTTCAAGTCTATAAATGTGAGGGAAAGCAAAAGGTAACCTTCCCTCAGGCGCGAGTCGAACGCGCGACATTCCGGTTCCATCATCATTTACAGCCGGACGCCATAAACCAACTAGACGACCGAGGGGGTTATCTGTCAGCTGGGTTTATAATTTATATACCCTAACTGTTTTACTCGCGTTATCAAGCACGCCGGTAAACCCAACATTTTACTGAACAATCTGCACATTACCTCAGATAGAATTGTGTAATTTGGTTAGTTTCATGTTTATAATGCTTCTTGTCGCTATGTTTATCTAATAAACCGGACTTCTCTCCGACACTGATCACACCTTGAACAGTTGATTTCTTCTAACGGCGCGAAAGTCAGATCTTTGAAATAATATCCGAGACGGAAAGCCATTAAGGCTTTTCGTCAATAATCTCCTAATTAAATATATCAAGGTCAAATTCATTGTGGTCCCACAATTTGCTTGGTCCGCAAATCGGTGATTCAGAGGAGGTGAATGAATTGATTTAAATATTAACGATCAGAGAAAGACTACAGTAGAGTTGGGATTTGAGTCCTAAATAATTCGAATACCAGGATTAAGGTCTTTTACACTCACAATTCAGTCAAGTCCCAGCTCTCAACTTGATCACCTCATTTACTTGGAGCACTTGGAGGAAACTAATGGTGATCGATTTAATACAATACATCTGGCTGAACTAGAATCAGTTTGTCAAATGTAGTGTGCTCGTGTCAGCCAAAAGAGCACTTGAAATACAGCTGCGTTCCCAGTAGAAATTGTCATATAAATGTGACATAATGTCCGCACGAACTCAGGATATGCTACACACTGGCTCATCAAATACCAAGAGCATGAATAGTCGGGAGATCTACTTTGAATTACAGAAAACTTATTTCTAGAGAGCTATTTTGTTTTCAAGACGTCGTATTACTTTATAGCTCGACACCGCGAAACCGAGTCTTTCCCATCATCACCATTGATATCTCTCCTGAGTATTGTAATATCACTCTAGCCTAACTCAGCCTTCCCACATCTTTCTGCCAGGTTGACAATATTATTGAGGGTTAAAAATTAGACATGTATCTACAATCATATTAACTCCTCCCACACATCCTACATTTAGTGACACAAATCACTTACCCCACATATTTGTCGCTGTGGGCAGCCTCTAGCAGTTGAATGGGTTGTCCAGGGTTTAATCGCAAGTTTGATTTTTTTATATCGGAAAGGACCTTTGTTGTGAATCGAAAATCGAGATGAGTCAATTTTTAATATGCGATCTTAATCTTGACCGAGACATGTCCGTCTCGCATATTGATAATGTAAATTCGTCAAATTTACAAAAAAAAGAATTGATGTCTTTGAAGTTCTATATTTTGCCTGGAAATACGTAACAAAACCAATTTAACCTTCTTCGGTCCTAATCCTAGCTCATCAGCGATCTCAAATTTAGGATCCACAAAGAGTATAAGCTACAGATTTTGCATATTCATGTTACCAGGTTTGTGAACTCGAAGCCTGATAGGTAAGACACCTCTACCTTGGCAAGAATCAACAACTTTTACCGTCAATCAATTTTTAATACAAGTAGTTGCTTTCTTACTTTTCTCAAGGCTTGTCAGACGAAGTAAAATCTTCGAGTGAAAAGTGTCTGATTCTGATCACATAAAGTAAAATAATACAATCAAATGAAAAGAGATTCGCTGATTGACCAAAAACTGGGAATTCCACACTTAGGTATCCAAGTGTGCGAAATATAATTGATCAAGATATACTACTTTTAACAGATGTCTACGGTGTTAAACATTCACAGTACCTTTTTGAGTTTGCCGATATCGTTCATAGAACCACGATAATTGGATATGAAAGGCTTGAGCGAGATTTGAAATAACACTCCCATTTTGTGAAGAGTTCAACTAAAGATAGCACTTAAGTTACTATGTATTTGAAAGGACTTAGATTACAATATCAATTTTGCTCTTTTCGATATTTCGAGTCAGGCCAAAAATTTAATCTCGACTGACAACTGGAACATTCTTTTTTTTATCTTATTATATTTCGCTCTTGGGTCATAGAAGTTTATCGGAAGTAATTTTGTGGTACTGTGTACTACACAGGTGACATTTGTTATTTGTTTCACGTTCTATCTGGCGGAGCTTGGATACAAATGAAGCTACGTTAGGTTCGGTGTTAATGAGAAGACACGGAGCTCAGTCATTGAGGAATATCTGCTGCAGGAAGCCGTAGTTCTTGATGGTGTGAGTTGATGTGAGATTATTGGCATAAAAAATAATTATAATTGGCAGCAAATTATAAATCATCAAAATAAGAGTTTTGTTAAGTCGTCTTCAACATCTGCTAAAATCCTCACTTTGATGAGGACTTCCAATCGCTTTCGCGTTCTGTATCGTCTTCATCTATCTGCACATCCCCCTATCACTATCATTATGAAATTAACCACGATCAGATCAGATGGTAGGGACGGAGCCCTTCTTATCACTAATACTTGACCATGGAAGAAAAGCCATCCGATAAGTTTCCGAAGCGTAAATGGCACCAGATACGGCGATGGCGAATTGGATCAAGATGGCCTCGAATGTTATAAAGGGAAATATAGATGAATTATTTTTTGGGGGGAGTAGAAGGTTTCGTGGAAAATGTAGCCGATTTCCACGGGTAAAAACTGAGCTGAGTTGCTATTTATGAAGGGCAATGTATCAATGATCTTTCAAGGAACAAAAGAGCATAGGAGCACTGTACAATGTGTGGCCTAGGCCAGAGAGGAGCTCGATGTGCTAGATAGTCTAGGGCTCAAGTATTACAATAAACAAATCACTACCACCACCATCATCGATACCTGCTAAATCTCGATCCTAGCATGTAGATGATTTGTGTGGAAAAATTGCACTGTGCTAGAAAGACGGGTGATTTGGAATGAAGGCCTGAGTGGTTGATATCTAGCGCGTTATGTACAAGAAATTTGTGAATGATCTACTTTGGCAGGAAAGGTTTGTCTCCACATTAATAAAATTTGCACCGAGGATAGTACTGGTCACGTGATTGTACAATCATTATGTTATCGGGTTGCCGGGTGGTCCTGTTATGGATCAGCAACTCAGATTGGCCAAAGCCCTCTACATTAATATAACCTTCGTCTATGGTTCGTTTAGTTAAAAACTATCCCTCAAAAAACGAAGAGCAGAAAGGAAACAATAACCTCTTCATGTCAATGAATCAAAACAACAACTGTCTGAAGCTGTTTACACGGTAACTAAGAATAACGCTCATGGCATCCATTATTTCCCGGAATCCACCGCGAGATGAAAACGTCCCCACCACCTTAGATTCAGCACTTTCAAAGGATGAAGATAGCGCTTCCATTGAGCAATGCAAATCGAGGCTCAGATCAGCTCTCTTGCCATCACATCTAGAAACATTACTTCTGGCCATCTTTCCCGCAATACTACTGCTAGGGACTCTATTCGGCCTTCTAGACCCAGCTGCACGCCAGTCCACCTACAGTGTGAGCTCACAATCACATCTGCAACATTCGGCACCTTCTTACTTCGCCAAGAAAGATAACATCTTCAACATTTTCTTTGTCAAGCGGGGCTGGGCATGGGTCACCTTCAGCTACTTCTTATTCCTATTCACTCACCCATCAACTGGTTCCTCGTCATCCCCATTATTCGTGACAAAACGAGTGTATGGATTAATGAGGTACGGTGTTGTCACCCTATGGTGGATATTTGTTACGCAATGGTTTTTTGGACCAGCTCTTATTGACCGGGGATTCAAATACACTGGTGGACACTGTGAATTAGTCACAATGAACGGATCCAACTCTATCTATATAGGGGAAAAAGTGATTTTTTTGAGTGCAGCGACGTGCAAGGCTGCTGGGGGTAAGTGGAAAGGAGGTCATGACATAAGTGGTCACGTGTTCCTACTCGTACTAGGCACCATGTTTCTCCTCGAAGAAGTCTTAAGTGTGACTCTCGCCAGGCACAGAGAGGAAGAGACAATAAAGAAGGATTGCGATGCTAATGGCGGTCAAATTAACTACAAAAAAGCAAATATCAGGGGCTCTCCGGACATTTGGACGTTAGGGTCTAGAGTGGCTATTGGTGTAGCTGTCATGAACTTGTATATGCTCATGATGACTGCTGCTTATTTCCACACTTGGCTTGAAAAAGTGAGTGGTCAGAACTCGTATTGATTGAACATGTACTCACATACTACAGCTCACTGGGTTGACTATGGCATTTTTGGGGATTTTTACAGTGTTCTTCTTACCCCGTGCTATACCTGTTTTGGGGGCTATTCTAGGAGTGCCAGAGATATAAACCTATGTCAGTTAAGCTAACCAAAACCATATGTAGAATCTCTCCAATTGTAAAATGATATGGGTATGAAGCTTAAAGGATATGCGTCATCAAGTGATAATTTGAGAATTTCTATGCTATAACAATAATTAAGTATATATCTGAATTTGATTTCATTATCCTGATTTTGGCGCCCTATGGGCCCATGCAGGTGTCTACAGTCTATAATATTTACCCGGGAGGAAGCCTCTATGGTTAAAACCCCCCACATCTTCCTATTTGTTGTCTATAGTTCTCACAAATTTTCTTCAGGAAGCGCAGTTACACTATAGTGCCATCCATGTAAACCAACCAGATCATCTCTATCCACCCCAAGCATTATTTGACCTTTTCCTTGCCCTCAGCAGTATTTCGACCGGTTTTGTCATCTGGAATTGCCCTATCCAACCATGGTTTAGGATCCACTGTGCTATCCTTTTTATATCTCCAGGATTGTTTATCATCGCTTCGTAGGACCGATCTATGGCTTGTCTCCAGATCTCAGATCTACCATTTGATCATCGGGGGCAGGACATAATCATATGCTTGGGGTTCTGTGATTGGTAGCCGTATGGACAACCTGGACTTAGCACTCCGTGTACTTTTCTTCTATGTAAATACGAATTAAGCCCCATGTGCTCACTTCGTATTTGCATTGCCAAACTGCTTTGGGCCTGTCAGACCAGTATCAGAACCCGGTGGAATTCGTACTCCTGAATTAATGTTTCGTGATTCATGTAAATTCCATTCTTCTAACATTATTGTCAGAATAATATGCCAAGCTGGTACCTGACATAATCTGTGATTGCCTCAGGAAAACCTTGGGGTTTTGGGTAATTTTCAGGTAGAAAATGCTTGGCGTCCGTGTAACAGACGTGGTGGACTGGTATTGAGTCGGTTTAGGATTACATCTTGGCTACAACATGATTGGATTGTATCCGGTGATGTAAGTAAGCTATTTCTAGATATTATCATCTTACGTCAGGTAGTAGATATGTGTAGATATATAAGCTGAGAGAAAGAGGAAGGAAGACAGACAGACAGACAACTGCATCTTTTTATTTCACTTCAATTGAAAGCTCCTGTGCGAGCTATTCTTCCAGATACTTCTAGTCTCAATCATTACAGCTTCCGAACTAGCTCAAAAGGTTTGACAGGGCCCTTGTCAGGTCACGGTGTAGGAAGAATGGTGAGCCTTGAAAACTCAGTTTTTGCTGTCCAGACTTTCTACTTTGGTAAAAATCTGGCTGCTTTCCAAGTTTCAGGATCTGCGGTAGCACGTTTTTGGGGCTGTCGACTTCGCTTAGGGGTAAACCAAGATTTTGCCCATTCTAGGTATGCTGCAATATTTAGCGCTTCTTTCTGTAACTCTTTAGATTTCTCATCTCCGCAAATCTCTTTCCAGTAGGCAAAATCTGCTCTTCTATTATCTGCTCGAATGTCTTCTCTCCCTCTTTTGGGCAGCTTGATCATATTACATGCAGACTGAAAGATTTTGACTGGTAGGGAATTTGAACGGCCCACATATGGTACCCGTTGTTGCTTCAAGTAGGATTCTATTGCAGTAATTTGTGTACATAATTGATGACTCTTTTTTTTAATTGCCTACGGATAGTCATACTCTTGACTATATGTGTGGATTTCACATTGAGGTATGTTCTTTCACACTAAATAGTCAAAGCTGGTTCGTGAGAATCTACACAAGTAGATAGGTAGACATATGATTTAGATCAAGATAAGAAATGTAGACCAAAAGTATTACGGGATAGATCCGTGAGGTTGGTACTGGCTACGCTAATACTGAGTCAGGCAACATATACCACACGAGCCTGGTAATCACAAGGATAGCTTTGATGAAGCTGGCTGCCGCGAGGTTAGTTGTCGCAGGGCTGGTTGCATGAGGCTGGTAATCAATGGCGTGTTCCCCAAGACTATGATATTGAAAGAGATGTGATTAGAATAGATAGGAGTAATAATTCGGTTTTCTTCTGTAGATTAGAATAATTAACTGACTTAACTCTCGGACTTGCTCTGGTGTCTTCCGTATCAATTGATCCCGGAATAAATTGATGCTACTCCAGGGTTTCAGGAAATAGAGATATCTCTACTAGAACAAAAGGCCTAAATGGAGTCATAGTAAGAAATACTTCAGTAGGTTATGTCACTTACAGATTGTGCAGAAGTCGGTTCTGACACCGGGCCTTGTAAGTTTTCAGCTGGCGATCATCTATTGGATTTGTAACAGATGCCTGAGCTTATCGGACTCTTTTGAGACACTAGGTCGGGAAAAAACCCCTTTCTTTTTTCTTACAACCGCTGTACATTTAGTATCCCTCGCACTCTCGCAGACGAGGGCGTGCCATTCCTACAGCCATATGATTTTGAGACAGTGATACATCTGCACCTGTGGGAATATATTAACGTCAATTTCATAGGTGGAATGATAGATAAACCTGGGACCAAGGTGTTGTGTAAACTTCAAATAGGACTACTTCTAAAAATATTTTATATTACGCAGATGACGCAAAGTTTAAGGTTAGCTTCGCAAACTACAAGGTCTTAGTTAGAGGCAAACTTTCTGATCCAACAAAGTCGAAGTAAATAACAAGTATTTTCAGTTCTATGACATGTTTAGTTATAATCTATTCTGGATGTATCAAAAGTTATAAATAATATCACAAATCTCCTTCGATGCATAGAGTCAATTAGAAGTCTGAGCGCCAAGTGACCATAGAAGTAGTTTGAATCAAGGTAGGTAACAGCCACTCGCAAGTACTAGATTCATACGCGTCACCTTAACATTGTATACAGGCGTCTTTTTTGTAGGAAATGCACTAATTTGGTCGGGTGTAATAGTTGTATCTTTTGGCTTGCGTTTAGCTCCTGTTGCATGAACAGTATTAGAATTAGTAGAGGGGCCAGAAGTAGAATTTGCTCGTGTACCTTCAGTCTGACAACTGCTGGTTGAAACTTCACCTTCAGGAGACTTGTGTGGATCATTAGATATTTCAATATCCCACGTGCGAACGGTGCAGTCCGCTCCACCCGAGACAAGAATAGTTGATTCCACACTAAACGAAAGAGACCAAATACCACCCTTACCGTGGCCCTTACATCGCTTAGTTGGCAAGCCAGTAATTATATCCCAGAGAATTATGGTTCCGCTACAGTCTGCAGAGGCAAGGATTTTTCCGCTTGGACTGCAAGCAAGAGCGCTGATGAAGTCCAAATGACCACAAAATACGCGAACACATTCCCCAGTAGTGAAGGCCCACATACGAACACTCTTGTCGCTTAGATCACTTGCGGAGAAAATATATGCACCATTTGGATGCCAAGCTATCTTGTTGACACTCGTATCATGGCCAACCATCATTCGCAAGAATGAGATATGATCCTGTCCCCAAACTCGAACAGTCTTATCACGACCGCACGTAGCAAAGTAGTGGCCAAATGGACCCCAGCGAACATCCCAGACGGGTCCTTCGTGTCCCTTGTAAACCACAAGACAAGACCAAGTCTCGAGAGACCAGAGACGAATGGTCTTATCGGATGAACATGAAAGTAAAAGTTTCGGTCGCGTTGAGAGGGCAGAGTCTACGTGCTCAGACCCAGCAATAGCTGGCGAGAATGATAAGCCATAAATAGGTGCTGAGTGACCGATGAGACGGCGTGAATTAGTCGGCTGCTTTTCACCCGGTAAAATCACATGAAGCGGTTCGCCAACCATGCTCCAAACACGGATGTACGATTCCTCTGTCCCAGCAGCTATCAGTGTATGATCATCTGAGAATTCGATGCAGGTAATACTAAGATTCGCTGAGATTAGTTTTAATTACGTGATCTATTGTGAATGTAGTAACATACCAGTCAAGAGTATTGTGGAAAGTGAACATACATACTGAGACTCCAACTCCAACTCCTCCAGTACGACTTTCAATTTTGAAACGTTCACGATATTCTTTGACTTTTTGAACCTCCATCTGAACGTCTCGCGCACGTGTTGGAGGCAAAGGGATTTCTACCTGACTAGGGGTATCGACACCTTCTTCACGCTTCATATTTGTGTCGAATTCTTCCACGAGAGAACGCTTGCCAGCATCAGGAGGGTTCTTTATATCTTCTTCTTCTAGTTCAGTCCGAACGTCAGAGATTAATTCAGGTTCCATTGGCATCATGCCAAGTTTGAGGATTGCATTGTTATTCGAAATATCTTTATTTGTTACACCGGTGAAAGCACCAGGTATGCCTTCCTCTAAGTCCTCCACATCATTTTCTTCGCTCTTAACATTGTTTATAATTGCTTCGAAGCTGAATCGATCAATTAAACCACGGGTAGTCTCACGAATTTCAAAATAAGTTTGAAGGAGTCCAAGTATTACGGTACCACCTGATTTTCCGCTTGATTCAAGAAACGTAATTAAGCTGTAATAAGCGTGCTGATTTAGTGGTAACTTGTACTTATTTTTAAGGTAAAGCTCAGTAGTTGCGTTTGCGTCTATGTGTGCGGGAAGGGTGACAAGAGAAAACTCCTGGAGCTCGTCGGCGTGAAACCTTTCAAATGATGAGCTGAAGTGATTGAAAAATATATCTCTCTCAACCGTTGCTTCATCCTTAACAAGAGATAGATAGGAGTAAACAAAAATCGGCCACGGAAGTCTGTTAAGTTCAAGCTTTCATGATGTTGGCATTGAACGATACTAAATTCGGTAGTTAACCTACTTTGTAAATGTCTAGATTAGAATCAATCCAATTCAGTAGCATTTCGAACGCTCGTCGGTATTTCAAATGTCCTAAGTCTTCGACACGATCCTGGATCGGCCGTCCTTCTTTATCTAGACGAGACGATTCATGCCGGAGCATTTGCTCTGTCCGGTTATAGCCTTTTTTAACTAGGTATTCTATGACCTGAATCGTAAGATCAGTAGGTGATGAAAGTTATAATACTTCAATAACCATGTTGGAGGGAAGTTGAGAGCATTTTCAGCCGACGACAAGGTAAGTGAATGCTTTATATGGATACAGATTCATGACAATTACTTGAGATGTCTTTCTTCTTTTGTACCTGCGTTTAATAAAAAAGTTTTTATCAGGATAACTATCTTGTACATTATTGTACCTTTCCGACCAAGTAATGAATCACTTTACCAAGATACATTGATGATTCTTCTCACTCTCGTTAGTGACTGGTCAATGAAAATGCCATCATCATTGTTGAGTCACGAGATAAAGACATACTTAGAAGATAATCCTTTGCAAAGACAGACAAAGCGGTTTATATGTTGTAGAGCCCATGGAATGCACGAAAACAACCATCTCATTTTTGCAAGTCGAAAAAACACTTGTCGCGATGCATTCATATAAATTAAAGACGTTAATATTAGAGAGACATTAGCTTCCTGGCTCAATCGTGATAAACTTCACGTATGCTAAGTTTCAAATATTTTTGGAAGCAAAAATTTTCGAAAGCTAATCGAAAACAGAGATCTTTCTGACTACACTTTGAGCAAAGCTTATTTGTAAGGACGAGCGCAACGCAGCAAAACCATAGTTTATTTAACTACTGTAATGAATAAATTTGCTTACAATTTGGTTTAAATTCTGCTGTGATATGCTCTGTGTTGGCGGAGGGGGCCCTGCTTGATGCTGCATCCCCGTTCCAGCGCTTGGTGCGCCATTTCCAGAGCTCTGAGACGGATGGTTTGACATAACTTCGTTGTAGTTAATTGCTCCATATATCTACTCTGAGATTTTGGCGGTAATAAAGCTCGAATCTTGAAGATAAGTGTGTGTTGGATGGTGAAGGTGCATGAAGCAGTAGCAAACAAATCGAACAGTGATCTAACGTCCATAGGACTATATCCCATGTTAGATCGTCTTACAGCGAGCAATCACTTTTTTGACAGGCTGTATAGTTCAATGGTATACCATCTTAGCTGTTTTCCCAAGCTGATCCTGGGTCGCTTTAACACCCACCACATTCGAGGCGGGAGGGAGCTGGTTAGATGTCAGTGAGACCCACATGACACATACCAAATTGCCTCAGGTTGGAATTGAATTTGTAGGGTGACGAGAGTACAACGGATGACCACGGGGCTCCACGCTATTCCCTGTGATTGGTACACAAAGAATGTTATTATAAATATATATTATTTTTTGAATTTGAAATTGAATTGATTAAACCCGATTTGGCACCCTATGGGCCCATGCAGGCGGCTATGAACCTATCTAATTATTTACATGAAGTGGAAGCCATCACGATAAAAACCCACTCCCCCTATTAACTTTTATTTTCATCTGTAGTCTTTCGTTACCTATAGGAAGAGAATTTGGCCTTGAGTCCGAGACAGGACTAGCTTAAATTATATTAGACCCCGCTATGCTCTCCCTGCCCTAGCGTGCTGAAAGGAGACGACTGTGGTTTTGAACTTGACCCCGATGGTCCAAATACTTGTGGTGGAGGATTGATCAGGAGCTGTCTGCACGGGCGTCCTGGCCCTATCTTGAGTTATTAATTCATTTTATTGTCCTGCCTGAGTCGATTACTATTTAGGACATGCAGGTCCCCTCTGCCTACAGGCTAAGGATACCTATACCAGTAGTATATCCCCTCCTATGCCTCCCATACAGCTCCTTTCCAATAGTACCAACCCTCCCAAGTCCTCATTCGATCATTCACTTAGAGGAGCCCTTTGCCCTTCATTATCTCCCCTCTCCAGCTAACGAAACCATGGCCGTTTGCGGCTGTATGGCAGCCGGGAGAAATCACAAAAACCAATGGGTGCGGAACTCTCCTAATACCGATATTAGAACTAAACCCGAAGACATAGTGCCCCTTCTAAAGCGTTCGAAGAGGCCGGCCAGCTGGACGCTGCAGTCTTGTGTGTACCTCGGGAAATTCACACTCTGCCTTTCTAGCCTCCTTCCAACTCCTTCCCGAAGGTTGTGCTGAAACGTCAGAAAAGTCTTGACAGAGCGTAATTGTTGTATAGTAGCTTAGCCTAGCTTCTTTTGTGCCGTCCAGGGCCCTGGAGAATGCCGTTGACTCATCGACAAAAGAAGCCCTCCTGGCTAATTAGCCGAAGTCTTGGCCTTGGCGCCCACAAGCGTTCCTAAGTTGAAAACTCGAAATTATCAGTCCCAGTATGGTCTACAAAAACTTTTTCCCTCTCTAGCTCCACATCTCAGCTATCTGTACTTCCTCAAGATGTATAACTCCATTGGAGCATCAGTCCCCCACAAACTAAGACCCCAACTTTGTATATTAAGACTTAATCTCCTCCTTGCGGGTATGCGTAGCGTCGTAAATATGAAGTGAGTGATAGCCAGTAATCAATGAGGCAAGCTCCTATTTGCAACTGGGGTGACGCCTTTATCGGTCGTTGATGCGAGATGATATGTGGTTAGGAAAAGTTTGAGGACTTAGGATAATGAAAAGTCCTGTGTGATTGAGAACTCGTCAAATGGAGATCTGCATGTGTTTGGTTTAGACTTCGATTCGGATGCGATTCTTCTAAGCTATCCCAGATATGCAGAGCATACTGAGCGAATACACCGGCACCACTGGAAGGTGAAGAATTCGTCTTTTTCGGCCCCTCTCCTGAGTACGTGGCTTTTGTGGGACACCAGTGTGAACCCTTGGTTGTCTATTTGTTTTGCGGTAGTGGTTGTTATAAATGCCGCTGGTGTAGTTTCTCCTTTTCTAAGCTCCGCCGTTCTCTCCAATAGTTCATACCATGCCGGCTGAACTCTAAACTTTTATGATACGAAGTTTTGACACGCCCCCTTCTGCCACAATTTATGGTCCTTGCCACAGTTGCAGCAAAGTGCCGACTTCCTCGGGTATTCCCTGATCTGGTGAGTGCGCGCGCACTCACCAGATCTCCTTGACCTGTTGCAAGAGGCTTGGGTATAACCCCATTGACAGCAGTTAAAGCACTGCTTGATTTGCGCTCGGGGTGACCACAGCTGGGCTGTGTACAGAACTGAGTTGTATACCATGCCGTTTCTTACCACTTCCAGTTAAAGTGCCTCTATCGGCAAACTCGCGACGATTGACCCTCGAGTGTGGCCGTTATTACCCATCAATCGGTGCTCCTTTCCGTCGAAGAGCCATTTTATTCCATTGATCTTCAGATGGGAAATTTGAGATTTTGTTTCCGCCGTAACTTGATTTATGAATTTGCAATTATCCGGGTTTTTTCCTCCTCTTATAAACGTCCCAAGGAGCTCCCCAATATTTCAACAAGGTAATCCTGCTTTAGGACGCAGAACTCCTTTGGGTGGGCCGCGTCTCGCTGGGAGACTGACTGTACAAACACCTCCGTATCATTGCTGCGCAGCTTCCTTACTGCGTATGCACCCTCGATATATAGTTTTGCCTTGTCTAGCAGCTCTGACAGCTGCAAATTATCTGCTACTTGTATTCTTGTTCGGACAGCCGCTTTAGTCGCTGGCGGTGCGGCGACTGAGACGCAGGTTGGTCGCCCTCTCATCCCTTGTACTGCCGAAGCTGCCGTCTTGCACGACGGCTCCTCGAGATTCTTCGTGACTGCCTTCTTTAAGGCCAGCTTCCGTTCTTCTATTCGTGAATCAACCAGCTTCAATTGTAGCATCGTAGCGTGGGCTTTGAAGGCATCAATCGCCTCACCTATTTCGACCATCGGAGTCGCATATTTGTCAGTGCCTGCTATCACCAGCCTGTCTCTGACTTTATTTAAATAAATCCCTACTGTCTTTAATGTGTCCATGTTAACGCCTGTAGAGCTCGCGAGACAGACTACAGCCGTGATTGCGGCGGTTCCGCTATCCGTTGGTGATAGTTGTGGCGCCGTGAAATTTTCTTCAGCCGTGGAATTCACCTTTCTGGCTTTCTAATTTGCCATGCCCAAGGGCAACGTGGAAAAATTGAAATTAGAAAAGGACTGATTCAGATGGTAACAATAAAAAAACGAGGAGGGCAAGACTGAACACCTGTGCGCGGTGTCCTCCACGAACCTGGGGGTGAAATATTCTCCCAGCGCCAAGTTCAGTCAAACTTTGCGATATTGAACAAGTTGGCACACCGGGCAACGATTCAAAAAACTCCACCATATCAATCTTTCATTCCGAACGAAATCGATTCCTACCTAAGCCTCATCAAATCTACAAGTACGACCTAGTACATCCTTATTCCAATGATCACACCTCTCGTCGACTTTCTATGGCCTTAGCTGGTCGCTAGATACACGCCCACGCCAATATTTACACCCGACGGAGGAAGCAAAGCGTGGCGCACAAATCTAGGGGATTGTTCTTTGGGATGGACGTGAAAAGGATCAGGACAAGTTGATAAGATGATGTAGAAGAGGGATACGTTTTCGACGGGCGTGGAATTTTGAATTTTGGCAAGCAATTTACACAAATTGAGCTTTGTGTGCGCCAGGTCTTCGGTTGCGAGAGTGCAGGCGACACTATAAACATCGCCATGGTTGGATGGTGCGGTGGTACATTGTCTTGGCCGGTCTGCCAATTAGAGTCTGGATAGCTTGAACACATATCCCACTCGAGACAGTAGATCGCTGGTTCAAATCCGGTAAAACACAACCACATTTCTCACGGCGCAGGTATGCATGGACGACGAAGGCATGCTTGGATAACCAAAGGTTTTGAATTCTCTTTGGTGGGTACTTACGGAGGAGAGTCGACTATTTGTGTAAGCAGGCATACCTCACAGTGGTATTTGCGAATGAAATCCAGAGTATGAGTGTCTCTAACGTCAAAAGAATCATCCAACATGTATACACAGCACCGGTCATGTGTCATAGCTAGATAGCTGAATACACATCAAATGATAAAAAAAAGGGTCTCCCAGAGTCACGCTCTACGTGTTGTTTGCTAAACCCAATTAGGATAGATAGACGTAGCCCGTACAAGTGGAATACCCTCACTTGTACGGGCTAAATATGATAGAAGACAAGAATGAATCACGACTAAACTATCACGTTGCAACGTAGTAGCTTTTATTTATACGATACTTTGCCGTATAAATGCGAGGTGTTCTCACCAAATATTTCGGAACAGTATTATTTGATCTTTAGGTGTAAAGGAAAGATACAATCTCGACTAATGGGATCAAGTGAGAGCTACCAAATACAGAGTAACATACAACGGAATTGAGCTCTGGATTAAGCTAATAGCACACTTTATATAAGCAAATATTGGTTGACAAAGAACTGAGGGGCTCCCGTTATACACTTAATTTTGATATAATTTTTAGCGCTACCACATATATTGATGGCAGCATGGTTCAGCCTTTTGTTTATTTGAGGGGAATAGATGTATATTAGTATGCATACGTAACGCGAGTACTACTTATGGATATTAGGTAGTAATGCAGGCTAAACCTTAGTAACTGTAGGACCATGTGGGTATAGGATATTCAGGTAAGCACTCTTTTGGGATAATTCGTATTGCATTTGGCTAATTGCAGGAACCCATAAATTAAGCGATGGACGATTCCTAGACAAAGCCGCTGACAGCGCTGGAGCTCAATATTGTGTGATGGTACAAATCTTAAGATCAGTGCTATTTTTTAGCTTGTCGTAAATAGCTAGAGCCATATCCACAGACATTGATGATTAGTATCTTTTCTATTTTGAATTTAATGTAAGAATCAGATTTCTAGATTTTTAGCAGCAATACTAGTAATCATGACTTTTATATCCTATGATAGGTAACGGAATATGGAAACTAACACTCGGCAGCCCGTTATTGCTAGTTTCTGCATATCATGAAAATTTTTCATCCTATGGTGATTTGTCTGAATGTAGAAGCTATATGCGTACAGCATTCGCGATCCTCGAAGTATCTTTTGAGGATTGAGTGGTGCTAGTTTCATTTTCCGAATATATTGAGACGTCAAAATTTAAAAATTATTATAATAATACTCTTTGTTATCTTCAATTATGGTAACCAGTTGAAGCAGATTTTTCATCTTAACCATGGCTTGTTCTCATACCTTTACTTGCTTAGGAATTATAAAGCTAAAAAAAAGATACTGAAGCTCTTAGATAAAATAAAGAGTTTAAAAATTTGGGAATCGTAAACGATTTAGGAGAATTTGTTTTCCTTCGTAGCTTCTTCTAGCTGGTAAGATTAATTCAATCTCGTACTGAGTTAGGTACTCAAGTTTTTCTGTCAAGTTACTGCTTGAGCTTAATCCTTTTAACTTTAATTTCGAGCCGATGCCCTCCAGAGCTTTAATCTGAAAGATAAGAAAAAAAAGTGGGTTGAATTCAAACTCTGCCTGAGTTATATTTCTAATCATAAAGAGTGATAATGCTTCATCTGCATCATTGTGCTTCAGTCGCTTATAATCATTTACTGATAAATTCAAAAGGGTTTAAGGATACGAGATACTTCTACCAAATGTATTTGCCTCCGATGTAACCCAGAGAGAGATTTTTACCGCTATCTTCATTTTTGTCTCGATTGATGGACCATGTTTTTTGTACTTTACCGAGGACTATCACGTGGTCTGAAACCTCTATTAATCCGTTATTATTGAGGACTTCACACATTAGGGCATAACTGATAGGATAAGTCGGTGGAAGTAACGCGGGTAAGTAAAATGTACGCCCTTGGTAAGATATCGGGACTCTCATAGATTTAAGAAAATTTTGGGAATAATTGTCCAGAAGCTGAGTAGCTCCTTTACTAAAACTGTCGGCTAGGTGCGCGCCGGCACTTGAGCAGGTAGGGAAGTGGAGGACAAAATTTCTGCAGTTTCTAATAGCGTCTAGAGTTTGTGATGGCTTCTTGATATTGAATGAGACAATAGGATTTGGCTTCATAGTAACAGTCGTGACGGAGGATAAAGTCATCCCGATGCTCCTCGGGACCTCTGAGGGGTCAACGAAGTCTGTTCTATGCAATAGTTTATTTGTAGTCAGTATTGCGATTGACTGAGGAACGCAGCGCATAATTTGTCGTACTTCATCGGGTAACAATTCCGGATCTCCTTCAGTCTTCACATTCGGATGTTTTGTGTTCAATAAATTCGACTCCTCAGCCTTTGTATGCTTAGTAGCTGATGTGGCAGTCCTTGACTCATTGTCCTGTGCACCGTCTACTTTACATGTTTCTACCTCTACTATAGTCGGTGATCTAAACATTCGAGGTTGGCCAGCGGCATTCAGTTGAAATATAGATAAACGAGAGAGGTTGTGCTCATATTTTTTAGGCCTAAAACTAATTAAAGGCCATTCGAACACAACTCCTGATGAAAATTAAACGAGCTGTATATGAGCTTAGTTTGAAGTACTTACGATTCCTGCCTTTAAATCGATGAGACAGAGGTGACGCATCGGAAAGACCATGCATGATTCTCCTCGCATAAAAGGCCATTTAATACAGAGTTCAAGACCAAATTATCTTGACGGGTAGTTGTCAATAGCTTGGAGAAACTATGGGATACGTTACGTGTAAATACGCACAAGGTACTGTTTTCGGGGATACCTGCTATTCGCTATTACATTGTGGACGTAAGCTGGTAGTGGGTTTAATACATGTTAATTATACCAGAAGATCAAGCGTGGTAATATATTTTTAAATGTTTAAACTCTAGATATTTTCCTCAAGTAGGAGTTTAATCGGAAGCCTATTAAAAGCTTATTGTGGGTGGCATCATGTACCTTACCAAATTCATGAGGGTCACGTATCGGAATCTGCCTCTTCATGTATAAAGTCGCGCTAACCCTGCCTTTGTACAGCCTTGCAATATATGCTTCACTTTCCTCCGATCACACATTTTTAGAATTCACGCGCAGTTCTATTTCACAAGAGACATGACCACCAAATTCTCATATTTCTCTTTACGATGCACGAGTAATATACCAAACCCTGGTGCTCTTGCACTTGGTCAGATTCGCCACGCCAGCCTAATAAAACGCCCATATCGACCATACACTTTTACACAGTTAATAACACTATCAGACGGTAGCTCTTATACAGTACGCACAACATCACCGGCACCAGTTTATAAGTCGACCAAAGACTCGCGTAACCATCCACTCTGGCAGCCATCTTCGGCGGCACTCCGAAATGTAGAAGCTGACGAAGCTGGCCGGTTACGCGCATTTAGAATGCGATTTGGACACAGTTGGGAAACATCACAAGAGTCAAGCAAAGATTCTGTGGGGGGAAACACTCAAGGAAACCTCATGGACTTAATCAGATCTACAAAAACGAGTACTGGGGAAGCCAAGGAAGTGATTACGGAAAAAGTTGCGATTGAAGAAGACCCTGGCGAAAAGATGGTTACTGCTAGGAATGCCCTAGGAAAAGCCGTTCAAGTCAAAGTGAAGGATTTAGAACAATTTAGAAAGGATCAAAAGCTTGCTAGCGGAAAAAGTGGGTGGGGCTCTTAAGATATGGATGAAAACATTCGTACGATCCATTGAAAATTACTGAGTTACCGTGCTGCACAAAAATTACGCCAAGTCTTTTTTGCAAGTACTTAAAATCCAACATCATTTCCGGAAGATGCAAGAAGCCGAAGAGAAACTAAAAATTTTGGACCAAAATCTTACAGAATGAAGGAGAAAAAAAATTCAAATGGGAGGGCTCACAGTTTGACAAAATTCAGTCTCAATCATGTCGCAGACTAGGCCTTAGCTTTTTTAACGTAAAACAGACAGGCTCACTTTAAGCCTTGTGTTATGTATCATTATGTCTCCGATTCTTCGCCTGGATTAGGTATATTTGAAGGGCCCTCAGCTACTTCTCCGCCTTCCGTATTTAAAATTGGGCTGTTAGAGGTAGTCACAACTGTTGGGTTTGTCGGTTTCTTCATGACGCTTTCATCTTCTTCCGCATCTAGTTGCATCAAAAAAGTTTCCCATATTTCGATAAGCTGTAATTTTAGTCAATGTTCTGCAGTAAATTAGATAGATCTTACCTCTTTCTGTGCCTCAACGGCACCTTCTAAAAATGTCTCTACAGCACTCTTAAAATCTTCAACCTTTTCTCTCTCAAACCTGTCAAGCTCAGTTCTCATAAGGCGACCCATATCTTCGAATAGTAGCCTGGATTGATGAACTTTCTTCTCTGCATCGGCAACACTAGAATTTATCTGAACTAGTCGGTCCTGCTGGGTTTTTCCCTGACGTAAAAGCTTATCTTGTGTTGATTTTCTCTTCTGCATCTCTTGCTCAGCAAAATGCCATGAGCCAAATGCTTTCTGGCGCTGGCTAAACGCTTGCTTGATGCTACCTATCAACCGAATATACTCGTCAATCGTAATTCCTAGAGTTAGAACATCTTGCTGAGCTTGGCGGTCATATAGTTCTTTAATCCGAATCTGAAGTTCCGATAGATCTTCTAGAGGACCTGAAAGTGTTGAAGAGAGTTCGACTGTAGCTAGAGCATGTAGAGATGCAGAAAAGTCACCGGCTGCTTCTGCAAGTCCCTTTCGTTGTGTCACGACTACGTCCATAGCTTTTAGTAACGCTCTCAACTGGTTTTCGAGCGCATCCAGGTAGTTTCTTCTCTCATGGAACCACTTGGCTGTTAATATTTTGAGATTTTGATGGCACGTACACTCACATCATCTTGCTCCACAAATTTGACGCTACTACCAACTGACATTCCCAGTCCTCCAAACATACCTTTGGTTTCTCCTAATAACTCTTTTCTCTCCTTATGTTTTATATCTACATTGAACGCTTCACTCTCTAAGAATATCTTTAAATCAGCATCATGTTGAAGTGTTGGGTGTGAGGTTATTTTATTCAACATCCGTTCTAAAGCAGCTCTTCTTGACTCAACAAAATTTGTATCGAAACGCCCGACAGCTTGTTTTTCTGGAGGGGGTGGAACAACAACTCCAGGGTTGCTAGAGTGAAGAGAATTGTATAGCCATAGAAAATCTCGGTATCTTCGGGTGACAGCGAATTCTGGTTGGCGATATGCTTTTGATGAAGTCTATCATGTTATTATCATAACTTAATTCCTACACCGTAGGTTTCGTACCTTAGTTCTGACGAGATAAACGATATGAGAACTTGTAAGGTCGCCAACTTTATGGGGATCTCCAACCGAGATATCGAAGCTGGGTTTTGCTGCTTGCTCCACACTTACGCTTGGTTGAGTATCTCTTTTAGTCGATTCAGCGTGAGGTGGCTGAACAGGTGGCGGAACTCGAAGACTCTGCACTGATGACAACTCATCACCAATATTTGAGCTTTGAATCTGTCGAGACTGATTATTAAACGCTAGGCTCTGCTCTTTCTGTGGAGGATCTGGAGGAAGATCGACTGGTTTTTGGGTAGAAGCTTCATTCCCAAGGGGACCCAATGGACCCAAGGAACTATCTAAAGGAACTGGGCGAGTAGCAGGGCGACGAGGAACGCTACGAAGATTGCGACCTCCAGGTGATGTAGGTTTATAGGACTTTCCAGAAAGCTGGTGGTTATGAGATATGGGGGAGGAAGAATCTATTAAAAGTATCAGACCTAGGACTAGATATAAGATTGACTGGATAACCTTTAGATTTTTCGAGTCCGGTGCTCTCTCCAACCTTGGATAGATTTGCGCCGGATGGCTCGTCTGTGTTAAGTTAATTCAGCTTTTTCATTGCATAGTTGGCAACTCAAGTGTACTTGCCATGCCATGGTGAGTCTAGTGCATCTTCTAAATCCATGATTTGCTGTATTTTTGGAGAAATTAATTATCGTCAGATGCTCGAAGTAATTGCACAGCTGCTCGATAGCTCGGTGAAGATTGCACAGTTATGCCAAGGCATCGCAATGCGGCAATGACGATGCAGGGATCTAAAAAATGTTAGACCATAAAATATCCAGGACCCAAGAATACTGGTACGGTTACGTGTATGTATATTTGGCAAAATCATACTCAATGCTACCGACAAAAAGATACATACACAAACTCTTCGTCAATACCTTCATTCTACTCGAAGTTTAAGTTACAGGTTAAAAAAGAGGCTTGGGAAGCTTTAAATGGTTGAAAATGACTACTTCTGTATTCGCTCTCGCGATCTATACTAACCTCATCTCTCAACACATCCCCCTATCACTACCATTATCAAGCTAACTACGATCAGATCAGATGATAGTATCGAAGCCCTTCTCATCACCAACCCCTGATCATGAAGAAGAAGCCGTCCGATGAGTTTCTGGAGCGTACCTTGCACCCAACACGACGATAGTAGACTAGGTCAAGATGGCCTTTAATGTTGAATAGAGGGGAGATATGTGTGGATGTGCGCATCTCATGTAGTCCAGGTGTCTAGATCTCGCCTGGATAAGGCTGTATGTTCTTTGAGACATCTTCCCGCGATCGCAGTTTCCCTTCTGGGGAGTGGGGTTCAGAAGGCTCGGAGGGAAAAGTTTACAAACTCAACGAGTAAATACTGAGCTGAATAGCCAGCCCTCATGGGAAATAAACTAGAGATTTTTCTCTTGTAATAGTGAAGGTCAGAAGCATAGAAAGAAGCGCGAGGCCTGGATCAGAGGAGCTCTACGTGCCAGATAGGCAACGACCTATGCAGTACAGTGTAATCCAAACCAACCACTCTACTCATGCTTTAAGCTTATTGAGTGAGATAAACGTAGATTAAAAATCTCTGATTTTGTAACCTGTTGTATTTGTATAATTTTCAACCATCCATATTCTCAATCTCTGGATTAAATATAAATGAATATGCTATATTATCATGTCAACATCTTCAAGCGCCCCTAGGCTCTCACTTTTTTGATAAAGCTCTTCCAGCAAGCATCTAGCCTTTTCCCACAGCTCAGCCTCCAAATCCCTTTGTATTCGTCCGCTCTGACTATTTAAGAGGCCAATATCGAATTTTCCCATTCCCCCTTCGGCTTGCAAGGAATCTCTCTCCATAGAACGATTAGCTGCACTAACGGTCATGAACGCCTCAGTTGATGACCTTTCTTTTTTGGTTTTTTCAGCCGGTATTATGCCTGCTTGTTCCAGACCATATATTTGTCTATGAAGGCCAATATCAATGATCTGTAGGGTGCACAGATAAGTATTACAGTTCTCTTCAAATTTCTGACGTCGTTCGGAATTTGTCAATGAAGGTGAAGGTTGTTTGACAGAAAGTGTTTGAATCGCGAGACCAGCTGATTTTAGAAGCTGATTCATGCTCTTCAGATTATCAGTAAGACAACTAACAGAGAACCTAAGCTTTAACCTTATCAATATCGTTAAGCTGTTGAATACGTTCAGATTTAGTAAACGGTACAAACTGTGAGCTATCAGAGTTTTCATTCAAATGCGATGACATATTTGTGCGTAAGGCTGGCGATAGAATCCGAAATATCATCTAATTAGTTAACGTTGATGATTAGTCAGACTCGCGGGACGCTAACAATAACAGAAAATTAAACAATTTAGCTACCCTGATTTAACGCTGCAGGACTATGCAGGTGGTTTCGAAGGATGTGAATTATATGCAGAACGACTATTAATGACTCACAGAATAAGCATACTCAGATTTGATTATCAGATACCACCCGAGAGTAATCCTTACGGCACGAAACTTCACCCGTGCATGTAATGTCCTACATAGTCATTGACTGAGAAAGGTCAATAATTTATAGTAACAGTAACCATGTCCCCTCAGGGGAGGACAAAGGCTGAACACCTGTCAGTGGTGTCCTCTACGAACCTGGGAGTGAAATATTCTCCCACAGCCGAGATTCAGTCACGAAAAAGGGTGGGATGAATTTTAATTGATGGATTTTCGACTTGAAGGAGTTGCACCCGATATTTTGGTCGAAAAATCAGTCGGCAGAGATTTCACAGCCGGAACAACGTCGAACAAAAAGTCATCACCACCAACATACGATTCACGAATAGGCCTAGGTCTATCTGGGGGTCGTATTCAAACATTCGACATCTCTTAAACTCCTTTTATACTTGCGACGAAGCATTTCTCAATCGATCCTACATCTGCGACCTACCTCCATACCCGACCGATCACCTACCTACACACGCCCTAATGAGGAAATTCATGATGCAAACGGGACGTGTACAAAGGAGGAAGAAGAGGGAAGATACACCAAGGGGATTACGCAAATCCCCAACGAAGAAAACAACCCAACATTATAATATGAAAGTGCAAGGCTAGAGCAACGATAAGATCTTGGACAGCATATATATTTCGGAGTCAATGAGGATGTCAAGGGCTCGGGCGCGTGGTGGCCGAGACTGAGGAGGAAATCGCGCTACGGCGTGTATACAACGGGTTTCTGGACGGTTAGGCTTGGTATGATTCAACACATAGGTGAAGTCTGAGGTGGTCCGGTTATTGAAGTGGGACGAGGTTTATCTGTACTTCACGGTAGTTAACCTGATCCGGCCCAACCCCACTCGTGCTTAAGCTCCAATAGGAGTGCAACGGTAGCCATGTAACCTAGCACGTTTATGAACAAAACAAACAAAACATGTCCACTCAGGGATGGGGCTTTGGTTGTAACTTGCGCCCAGTAGACATAAAAATAAAAAATAAAAGAGAACCATGAACGTTAAATCATCGTTTTTATAATTTTTTTTAAATCATTTGATGTGTATTCAGCTATCTAGCTATGACACATGACCGGTGCTGTGTATACATGTTGGATGATTCTTTTGACGTTAGAGACACTCATACTCTGGATTTCATTCGCAAATACCACTGTGAGGTATGCCTGCTTACACAAATAGTCGACTCTCCTCCGTAAGTACCCACCAAAGAGAATTCAAAACCTTTGGTTATCCAAGCATGCCTTCGTCGTCCATGCATACCTGCGCCGTGAGAAATGTGGTTGTGTTTTACCGGATTTGAACCAGCGATCTACTGTCTCGAGTGGGATATGTGTTCAAGCTATCCAGACTCTAATTGGCAGACCGGCCAAGACAATGTACCACCGCACCATCCAACCATGGCGATGTTTATAGTGTCGCCTGCACTCTCGCAACCGAAGACCTGGCGCACACAAAGCTCAATTTGTGTAAATTGCTTGCCAAAATTCAAAATTCCACGCCCGTCGAAAACGTATCCCTCTTCTACATCATCTTATCAACTTGTCCTGATCCTTTTCACGTCCATCCCAAAGAACAATCCCCTAGATTTGTGCGCCACGCTTTGCTTCCTCCGTCGGGTGTAAATATTGGCGTGGGCGTGTATCTAGCGACCAGCTAAGGCCATAGAAAGTCGACGAGAGGTGTGATCATTGGAATAAGGATGTACTAGGTCGTACTTGTAGATTTGATGAGGCTTAGGTAGGAATCGATTTCGTTCGGAATGAAAGATTGATATGGTGGAGTTTTTTTTTGCATCAGATTTTAATTGTGTATGTAGCCATCTAGCTATGACACAATATCAAAGAAAAGTACAGAAAAGATGACTCAATTTACAAGAGGAGCACTCATGCCTCGGATTTCATTTGCAGGTACCACTGAGATTTCTTGTGCACGTTAGTAAGAATAAAATGATGAATGTTGACTATGAAATTCACGGATGTCTCGTGGCTCCGACTACGACAATCTATTTGTGTGTAGAGCTTGAGACTAGGTGTAAACTTGTATTTCTATTAACGTTCTAACTCCTCCTTAGATACATGAATTCCTCTATACTCCAGATAATGTAACGATCAATGATACATGACAAGTAAACTATCAGAATACAGTAGGAGAGGAGTGAGGTGCTTAGCCACCCGAATTGTGACCAAAGAATGCGAGGGGTGCATTCTTGATGGAACCTCAAACTCGGCGGCTCGCCTAGGATCGGGACTTCGGCGTCTCGCCTAGACTCGGAGCTCAGCGGCTCGCTTGCCGTGAGACTTGGCGTTACGCTCGGACTTGGAATTCAGGATCCTCACCACTGCGAAGTTATGGTGGCTTTTTCTTCACCCCAAGTCAACCCTCATCCGTGAATACCCACCCAGGGTAATATCTCAAATACCCTGAGTTATCCAGACATGCCTCCATCATCTTTCAACTTTTCTCCGCGTGAAATGTGGTCTGAGGTACCTCCTTCCCAAGTGGAGTAGGTGCCCAGGCTACTCAAACTATACCAGAGAACACCACCAGGAGGCGGACCACGACACCTTCCATCGTTTGCTTGTGTTTATAGTGTTAGCTGCACTCTCGCAAGCGAAGTCTTGGCGCGCACAAAGCTGAATTCGTAAAACTCCTTGCCAAAATTCGAAATTTCACGCCCTTCAAGGTTATATCCTTCCTTTGCCTCGTCTTGTAAACTTGTCCTGATCCCTCTCACGTCCATCCCAAAGAACAGTCTCCCAGATTTGTGCGCCACGCTTTGCTTCCTCCATCGGGTGTAAATATGGGCGTGGAAGTGTATTTGGTGACCGGCTGAGGCCAGAGAAAGTCGACGAGAGGTTTGATCATTGGAATAAGGATGTACTAGGTCGTACTTGTAGACTTGATGAGGTTTAGGTAGGATTTGGACTTATTGGGAGTGAAAATTTGACGTGGTGGAGTAATTTGAATTATTGCCTCGTGGGCCAAATTCTTTGATATTGCGAAATTTGACTGAACTTGGCTCTGGGTGAATATTTCACTCCCAGGTTCGTAGAGGACACCGCGCACAGGTGTTCAGTATTGCCCTCCAACCCCTCAGTCATTGAGGTTGCAGAGCGCATTGATTAAACTAGTTACCGAACTGAAACTAAGTAAAGAATTTGCAGTCACGTGTGTATCAACAACGTGGCCTACTTTTTTTTTCAATCCATTTACATCCTCTACAAGTCTAAGACTATTGTAGGATGTGCACTCCATTAGGACTGCATGTTCTAATACCTGCTATATACAAGGTTATCCAATATCTATTGTTCCATCGTGGCCTACTTGATAGCCCCAATTATTCTAAATTCAAACATATCTTGTCCATCCTATGTTTATCCTCCATGTTAGAATAATTCAGTATTTTTTGTAATTTATACATAACAGTGAGAGTCTTCTCTCTTTAGATTAAATATAACTTATAATTCAACGTAAGCAATTCGCTTTCCGTGGCGGTTACTCGGACTTTGGCAGCTTCTGGTCTCACCACTGAATCAAGAAATGAGACTTTTCTTCGGATCAAGAGGTGATCGCTGGTCACACATTCACCACCATCTACCCAAGCACAGGCGCCATCTATGTTAGTCAAAACTAGGTCTAGGGTATTACCGGCTAGATAGGTGGGTTCCCCCACAATATGGCATGTTATATGACGTTAGTCTGCCCATCTTTCGATTATTTCTCTTTGTCCATAAGGGCTTCCTGCTCCAGGTTGACAGGCCCAGTATACTGAGTTGATGCCTCCTGCAGCGACGGAGTTTGGTGATGAAGTGCACTTGTTGAGTGGCTGTATAGCTGTCAAATCATATGGTACCTCGTAAACGCTGAGAGAGGTGATGCCGTTCACTGCCATTCATGGTAGTCCCCTGTAGGCATAGTGAAAGGGAAGAGCTGTGTTGCCGATATTCTTCTATTGTCTTACCGGGTATAAGACACAGGCCTCGGTCTCATCTTTTCGCCGTCACGAGGTTGTGACGGCTGGTTCCTGTAGCCTATATTGGCTAACATAGGCTTGGTCCAATTTAGGGTGCGTACGATCGATCGATCTAATATAGGAGCATCGGAATCTGCATAGCATCTGATTCAACAGTGCAGCTCAACATGGCACCACTTGTCGGTGAGAAGCTATCGGCTGGGAATATACGAGATCGGACACAACCTCCTGAAATGATAGTGCAATGAGATCGTAGAACATGAGGCTCTTTTGTATATATACATGTGTAGATAGATCCTGTAGTAGTTCTCTCCTTAGAATTATTATATACTACCATCAACCACATAGTTGCTCCAGCACCTGTCCTAGAATCTGTGACTGAGGTAAATGATTGGTGTATCCTGGGTAATTTTTTGTCTTTATCTTCGACGAAGGTTCAAGTCGGAATACTCGGGTGGTATTTATATCACAAGCTTTCTGTTGCAGTAATAACAATTGGTTGTTAATATATATCTTCATTCTTGTCTTTTCGAAAGGAAACACGTATATATAGCAGCCATCCCTCTCTCCTAATGCCATTCCTAAACAGGTAACTCATTACTCATCCCTTGATCATGGAGGAAAAGCCATCCGATGAGTTTCCGGAGCTTACCCAGCACCCGATACGGAGATGGTGGATTGGATCAAGTCGGCCTCGACTGTTACAAAGAAGGGAGATATAGATTAATATGCGCACCTCATGTGGTCCCGGTGTCCAGGCCTCGCCTGGCTGGGACTGCAGTTTTTTTGAGACTTTTTCCCGCGCACGCAGTTTCCATTGCTAC